ACACTGTCTGGGGCAGCTTCATGTAATAAAGAATTACCCAGGCCCAAGCCCAACAAGGTCCTCCCTCTACTAAGAAGCCCCTGTTGGGAGACCCCATTCCTCTCTTGCTTTCCTTTTTTATAGGGCTGTATCGGTAGCCTAACAACTGATAACTTTCGCAGTGCACCTAGGCTTTTGAAATCTGCAGAATCTGACCCCTTAGAGGCAGTGAGCTTGCTTGTGTTGGCAGAAAGGCACGGAACATTGATTGTGTGTGAGTAGACCTGTAATAGTGGAAGATATTTAACGTTTAAACTAACTCCTTTAGTCTACAGAGTAGAAAACTCAGTGGAAGGCAGCTACTTAGTAGAAAAGTCAGTGGGATGAGAATATAAAGTGTAATTCCTAATTTTTTCCTGTAGGCACTTTCTAAAGTTGACAAAATTGGCATACATTAATGAAAACATTTTATGAGTTATTATTTTAAATGATTTTCACGTATTGGCTTATCAACAATGTGCTGTAGGCTTTTTCTCATTAATCGGCGTTCTGCAGAAAGTGAGTTAGGTGCAAACAGATACAACAAATTAGAAGAGATGTTTATGCTTTCAGGGAGATCCAGCTAGTGGTGGGAGTCAAAGTCCTCATCACCTCCATCCTTCTCCAGGGATCCTACCCACCGCCCCCTCAGCACCCAGGATTCTCTTCTGTTCCTCCACGTGTGGAGGTCCTTCTCCTCTGAGCGTCTTGCTTGGCTTTCCTCAGCAACATCCTGCCCCTCTGTCCTTTACAGGCCTCCTTCCCTGTGGGAACCCTGAAAGCTTCATTCCTTGAGTCTCTACTTCATAACCGTTGCTTCCGAGAGACCTTTCCTAAGGGGGTCTCTCTCCCTGTGAGCCCCAGCCTAGACCTCCCCACTCACCAGCTCCTTAGCCCTGTGTGCCCTCTATACCTGCGCTTTTTAATAGGTACAGGATGCGGGCTGGGGAATCAATTTAAAATTTTTGAGTTGGTGAGATAGCTCAGCGGCACAGCTCCTGTGTGGCAAACACAAAGTCCTGAGTTCAATTCCTAGTACAAAATAAATAAATAAATAAATAAATAAATAAATAAATAAATAAAATAGAAATTTCTAGTAACCACATGAAAAGGTAAAACTACTAACTTAATTTATAAGTTAATGATGCTATATAACTCGAAGTATAAAATACATGATTCAAAACACTACCTTTTCAACATGTAATCCATATAAAAACATTTTACCTTCTGTGTTTTGGGTACCAAACCACTGGTGCCGCATATCTCAGTTTGGCCTTGCTTAGGGCTTACACCTGGGGCTAGTGGCTGCCACACTGAAGTGGCACTTTTTACAAAAAGTGGATTTCTCCGACTTGTCTTCACTGGTCACCTTTCTAGAAGCTGCACTCTTTCCTGCCTCGCTGTAGCACCACTCTTGGAGCCTTGTAGTCTGAATTCACCAGTGTATTTTTCTTTCTTGCATCTGAGTGCCATCTCATCTGTATATATTATTCCAACGTGTATTGTTTGAATGTACATTTCTCTCCTCTTCTCTCCTTTCCACTTCTCTCCTCTCCTCTCCCTCCTCTCCCTTGCCCTCTCCTCTTCTTTTCTTTCCCTTTCCCTCTCTCTTTCTTTCCCTTTCCCTTTCTCTCTCTCTCTCTCTCTCTCTCTCTCTCTCT